GACATCACCTGTGGGTCAACTCCTTTTTTAAAATAAATTATGTCCATGAAAATAATAATAAAAAAACAGTTTGGTTGTGAGTTAACAATGTGAACAGTAGGTGGCGCTACAGAACAAGTAAAAAAATACAAGATGAACATTTAGTTTCAAAAATAAATGGAAACTCTAGCTCACTTTTTCTTGAAGCCAAAACTTAAAAAAACTGTTTAGAATTTTTAAATCCTGTCTTTACATTCTGAAGGTCAAAGTTGGCTTACATTATTTAAAATTTCCTCAAATGACTGATTGCAGTCAGAAAAAATAAACAAACGAGTCAGGCCTGAAACCAGYGGGATGGAATGAGAAGGTTTTGTTTCCACGGAGCTGTCAGGGTCCATTTGCATGCCTTGTGTCTGAGCGAGGCTGTTTGCAGAGAGCTGATAAACAGGCGGGCTGAGGAGACGGAGAGGATCCCTGCACATTTCACACAACTTTGATCTTCTGTGAGTCGAACAGCAGGAAACAGAAAAGTCCTGGGGAGCGCAGCTTTGATGCTCTGCTCACACAAACCACAATGACAAATCTATAAAAGTCCCCGCTGGCTCGTAGGGGGTGCACCATTAGCTGGTGTTTGTGTGCGTCTCTTGGATGTTTGTGTGGCTTATTGTTGCTGCTTTATTCAGATTTTCACCAGCTTAGAACACTCAAAGGAACGAGGCCAAACGGAGCCACCTGTTTTGGAAAACTGATCCCTGCTTGCTTCACTTGACTTCTACAGCATGCTTTATGTGCTGCATGTTTTCCTGCTAAAAAAAATAGGAAAAATCCTTATTATTCTTGCACTTATGAGTTTATTCTCTTCCTTTGTGACATTTTGTCCCAGATTTGAAGAAACCTTCAGTATTCARTATTTGTGTCACTTTATTGCTCATCTATTCTGTTTTTGTTCATGTCTGCTGATGTGTCTATTAGCAAAATATCTCATGGACCACTGGATTGATTTTAGTAGAAAATTCCCACATGAAATGATATCTGAGGGGAAAAAAAGAGAAGGATAAAAGATGACTCACCCAGAGGGGGTACGAGGTCTTCAGGGGGTCACCTTGTGACACGGTGTGAGGCTGGGACAGAGAGGGGAGGTCCCCGGACTGGATCACAGCTTGATGCTGGGGCCACACAAAGTCATACTCTGTCTGTATCTCTGACAGCTTCCTCCTCCGGATGATCTGAACGAACAAAGAAATAAAAAAAAATATTTATTTTTAAAGCATTCAGAATATAAAAGCAAAACTTTATATTTGCAGGTTTAAAGGCACAGTGTGTAGGATTTGTTGTTTTCTGCGACATCTAGTGGTTGAGTGGTTGAATCATCC